TAATATTATATAATATAAATATTATAAATAACTTAAATATTATATAATACGTTGAGAGAAAAAAATTACACTTAGGTGAAATGAAAAAAAGGAATAAATCATTTCACATTTACATTATTAATTTATAATATATTTTCATATTGAACACAGGTTCGTGGATTTGAAGACACTTATATATGGATAAAGAATGATAAATCAGGTCAAAAGAAAAGAGGCTACGTTTCGTCAAGGATCAACTTTAATTCAAGCTCCAGGGTGTGTGACCCTCTTCTCTTTTATGCATTATTATTTTTCTTTCATCTTTTCTTTTTTATTTTTTTTTCCTTTTTTTTTTATCTTCTTTCCAAGTATTATATATATATATAATACTAATAATTGTTATATGGGGTAAGTGTAACTTAAATACGAAACGGTATCTAATAATAGAATCCTTGCAAATTTTTGGCAAGTAAAAAATATAAACTATTAAAAATCATGAGAAATATATTTAGTTCTTTTTTTTTTTTTACAATAAAAAAGTCACATTAATATTTCAGTATTGGTATATATATATATATCTATAACGGAAGAAGTATTTTATTAATAGATGTCAAAGATCGATTTAATACTTTTTTAATATCATCACAGATCAGTTGGTTCGAACAGCAGAAAATCGTACGCCGAGAAAAACGTGATTACATATTTCCATCGATAATTGATTCGGAAAAAGCTTTGATACGTGAAAAACGTCTCCCATGGAGTTCATATGGGATATCATCCAATATGATGATCGAAAACCATAAGAACAAATTTGTATCCATTTATTCTACGAATGAACACAATCCAAAGAACAAAGTTTTATTTAATGACGAACTTTGGGATTTAGAATGGTATTTGGTAAATAATTAATTATATTTAAATAATTTTAATCGAGAGTAATTTTTAAAATGAATCAAAAAAGGTTCGTGTGCGTTTTTTTTTCTTTTTTTTTTTTAATATTAATCATTTCACTCTTGCATAAATATATAAGTATAATAATTTTATTGATTTCAAAGAGAACAAAAAATTGCACTATTCGAAGCAACACAAATAAACCCACGAATCATCTTTTTTTTGATTCAATTTAATATTTTCTTATCTCGCGTTGTTGTATTATTTTCTTATTATTTATTTTAAAATAATATGTTTTATCGTAGCAAGATACTAGATCGAGTAAAAAACATCCTAAATTAGATCTAAACGTATTGCCAGTTTATGAATTAGGTTTTACCGGACGTGGAATAAGAATTGCAGTATTAGATGATGGTTTGGAATACGATCACGGTGATCTACGTAACAATTATGTGAGTGAAATTAAAATTTATTTTAATTATTCAATGTTATTATAAACAATTGAGTTTTAACAGTCTCTCTATAATTCGTGAACTTTGTGTCGATAAAATAATATGTTAATAACAAATGTCGTGCTAATCAAAACTTGCTAAGAATAATCAGAAAATTATATTTTGGTTGGATCTAATAAAAATGAAACGAGAATCCTATATAATTCTAGTCACGATTTTTCAAGTACTTGCGATAACCTGACAAAAAAATACTTTAAACAAAAGTTGATTTTGTCAGAGAATGCAATACTGTAAATTGGGCATCTTTGCAATTTCTTTGAAAAGTTTCGGTGAATATTTTTTATACTTTTAGCAAGTAGATTTTAATGATTTTTATACTAAATTAAAGTACACTCTTTTGTCTATCCGTAGAGTACCTTTTCGAGTTATAAATCKATTTGCAAAGGTTCATAAAATGTCTGTGAATCCAATGCTGTAAAGTGTGCATCTTTGCAATTTCTTTGAAAACTTTCGGTGAATATTTTTTATACTAAAAGTGAATAGATTTTAATGATTCTTATATTAAATAAAAGTACACTCTTTTGTCTACGCGTAGAATACTATATCAAGTTATAAATTTAGCATATAAACTTCAAAAAATATCAGAGAATGCAATGCTGTAAATTATGCATCTTTGCAATTTCTTTGAAAAGTTTTGGTTAATATTTATTAAATTTTTACCAAACAGATTTTAATGAAACTTATATTAAATTAAAGTACACTCTTTTATCTACAAGTTGAATACTCACTTAAGTTATAAATCGATTTGCAAAGGTTCATATTATTTTTTAGGATCCTGAAATAAGTTACAACGTGAACGATGGTAACACCGATCCAATGCCACGATACGAATCAACTGGTATTTCAAATTTCTTCCATACTTTTGTTTATTAATATTCGACTAAAGTAATAAATTATTTATATTTTTATTTTGTGTTAAATATTTATTTGTTCAGGAATGAATGCACATGGAACAAGATGTGCCGGTGAGATAGCAATGGAAGCAAATAATGGAAAGTGTGGGGTTGGTGTTGCTTTCGAAGCATACATCGGTGGTATCAAATTACTCGATGGTCTTGTAAACGATCGAGTAGAGGGTGAAGCACTTGGATTCAAACCGGAAATCGTTGATATTTATACAGCTTCTTGGGGACCACCGGATGATGGGAAAAGTTTAGAAGCACCTGGTAGACTCGCTGAAGAAGCTATTTATCGTGGTATCAATAAGGTTTGTCTTGTTTTTAATTATTCATTTGACCAAATATTTATTAATTATTATTAATAAAATAATACTAAATGTGATAATATATATTATATATTATTTTATGTTGAATTTTTGTCTATTTAGAATTTTCGTATTCATCCTAGTGGTCTAACCATAAGTTATATATCTCATAGGATTACATTTGAACACTCAAAATGAATTCTATATAATATTGAAATAACAAAGATTATTTAACAATTCATTTTTTATAATAAATTGTGTGTTAATTACATTGAATTTAATTTGGTGTGAAATAACTGATAAACTTATTTGTTTTTTTTTTAAAGTTTTACTTATATTCGACTACTTTCATAATTATGGTTACATATGGTTGTTACAATTGCAATACTTCTTCTTTCGTTTCTAATTAATATTATGGTGATCCTTAGGGAAGAAATGGTAAAGGTAGTATATACGTATGGGCTTCTGGTAATGGTGGCTCAAAATATGATAATTGTGGATGCGATGGTTATGTTGGTAGTATATATACCATTGCAATTGGATCAGCAAGTCAAACTGGTAGATCTCCATGGTACAGTGAAAAGTGTCCTGCAATATTGGCAACCACTTATAGCAGTGGAACATATCAAGATCAAATGATTGTGAGTATTTCGTGTCACATTGTAAATGTATATGTTACGTTTAATGTACTAGTACTAATGGGGATTTTATAGAATGCCTGAGATAGGTTTAGGTCAATCTATAAAATGTATTTTATTTGATTGTTTTGTTAAACAATAGTTTGACATTTTGTTTCACTTTTCTCTCACATATTTCAAAACACACCCCATCGAATTTTATCATTAATTTTATATTCATTTTAATTTATGTATATATATATTTTATTTTATTTTTTGTTTCAATGAAACCCTTTTAGGTATTCTATAGAATCCCCATTATCTACATATTATATTAAATATGTAATGAGTACAGGTTTTTTTATTAGAAATATGAGTTTTGTTTTTTCTTCTTCTTAAGGTAACGACCGATTTACGAAACACCTGTACGACTAAACACACAGGTACCTCTGCTTCTGCACCATTGGCAGCTGGTATATTAGCACTTGCACTTCAAGCAAAGTACAAATTTTGATATATAAATAATTCTATGAATAATTATTAAGCTTAACTGAAAGTTCACGTGTCCCTTTTTTTGTGTATTATAAATTGCATAATTTATTTTCGTGTACAATTTTCATTTGGGGAAATGTTAATAAAAAAAGAAGAATAAAATGGACGAACTTTTGGTTAATCCTAATATTTAATTGACTTATTATTTCAATTTCATTTTTATTATCGTTTATAATTTTTGTAGTAAAAATTTGACTTGGAGGGATGTTCAACATTTGATCGTTTGGACGTCCGAGTACGGTCCGTTAAAGTAAGAACAAAAAAAAGAAAAGAAATCTAATAATAAATAATGTAAAAAATGTTTTTTTTTAAAACAAATTTTCAGCGAAAATCCCGGATGGTCGAAGAACGCAGCAGGATTTTGGTATAATTTAAATTTCGGTTTTGGACTTATGAACGCTTACGTTCTCGTTAAATTTGCAAGTCATTGGATTAACGTTCCCGAGAAGAAGATATGCGAAATTCCCATGGAATTCCTGTGAGTTCCGTAATATTATCGATCCATATGATGAAAATGTTAAACTGGTAAAATACGTATCATTCGTTTAAATATTTTATTTTTCATTTCGTACAGATTGGATACGAAATTAATTCATGGAATGATTAAAACATTACGTTTCGTGGTAAACGATAATAAATGTTCGATTAGCGATGGAAATGAGATGAATTTTTTGGAACATGTCGAGATTGAAGTAAATCTCGAGTATACTCGTCGTGGGGTTTTGGAAATGTATTTGGTTGCACCATCAGGTAAATACATATACAATACATATACATATAGTATACAATAGTTCACGTAAATAATATTAAAAATATTGTAGAAAAGAGAAGTTATATATATATATATAAATTTTTGTTTGTTTGTTTAAATTACCAACGATGAGATAGAATTAATTTAATATCGAATATCTTTCAATATTTTTCTTATATTTTATTCGTAATAAAAAAAAAAAAAAGAAACGAAAACTTATACACCCCATTTGTATCGGGGATAAACAATATAAAACTATTCATTTGTTTTCCTTTTTATAAATATTCGATTTAAGGTACCAAGGTACAATTATTAGGTCCGAGAAAATTGGATGATTCGTCTGAAGGTTTTAACAAATGGAAATTCATGTCCGTGGCTTCCTGGGGCGAGGATCCTCATGGTATTTGGTTCCTACACATATTCGACAAGGTTACATAAGTATACATTTTTAAATAATAATAATAATAATAATATTAATAATAATGCGAATTGTGTGTTCGTAAAAATTCGAATTGAAATAATATTAATCTTGATTTATTTATTTTTTATTTTGGATTCAGATTGGCTCACAAAAATACAACGGTAAGATCGGCAAATTGAAATTAATTCTTCACGGTACGAAAAGTTTGCCGTATTATCGAAAATATGGTTCGAGAATTTACGACAATGAATAAAAAATAGACAATCGAAGAATAATTATTACAATAATAGGATTATTATTAACCCTTTTTTGATCGTACCTAATGATAGCAAAAAATTGGAATAATTTTTATCCTAATGTGAATCATATTGATAATATAAAAAAGAAACTTGAAGTCAGGAAAAGTTGGAAATTATTGATGAGCGCATATATGCGTCCACCATGTATCCGTAGTGAAAAGGGTTGGAAAAAATTCCAAAAACAATGAGAATAAAAATGTATTTTATAACAAATATGTGTGTTCTCGAATTAGTGGGTGAAAATACCACGTGGCTGCGCTGCCGTCGTCGACCCGACAAATGCAGCTGGCTAGGGGGTGAAATGGGGTTGATTTGGCCAGTAGCATGTTGCCATTCCTAACGTGAACGTCGACGTTCGCGTGACGATCAGAAAGTGTCTAAAAATAGAACGTCAATTTAACTGGTGCCTTGTTAGTGTTGTTGTTGATTGTCATCGTTATACTTTTTTTCCCACCCCATTCCCATTTCCACCCCCACCCTCCCCTCCCCCACTCTCATCCCCATCCCCTAGCCCGGTTAATTGATCATTAACGATTTCAAATCAATAATAATTAATTTTTTTTCAGTTTTTTTTTATCCAAGAACAAAAAACATACCGTTCTCAATTTTTTTCAAACGTATTTGAAAATAAAATAATCAATCGATCATTATTAAATTATCACAATTAGAAATAATATAATACTAATACATATATGAGATGAGATAAGCATAGGAAGAAGAAAAATGGGCGTGTAACAGTTTAATATGATCATTTTGAAATGGTTTATATTATTAAAGTTTAGAATATATGAAAAACAATAATGTTTTATTCAATTCGATTTAATCTGATTTATTTGTTCTTTTCTGTCATTCATAAGAATTATTCATTATTTTTCTTTATCTCATTCTATTATTTGTCATATTTAGATTTAACCAATTGGGTTCGGTTTAATAGAAGTATTAATAAAAAAAACTTCGTTGGATTGAAAGAGAAAATTTGCCTTTTGAAAATATTTTTGTCTCTCTCTCTCTCTCTCTCTCTCGTTGGTTATGTTTTATTCATAATATTATTTCATTTTTCGCATTTAACGATATCCGATACTTCCTTCCCTTTCTTTTCTTTTCTTTTCTTTTGTTTTCTTTTCTTTTCTAACTTTTCCATTTGTTTCCTCATTTTCTTTTTTCCATTTTATTTGTTCGGAATAAACATCGGAAAGCATCGTGTATATTTTACGAGCAGCAGAAATACCCCGTTTGTCGTATCACGGTATTTTATTTTTTCACGTGTGTATGTGTGTGTGTGTATAGTTGTAGGGGTGCGTATAACCCGCGTATACTTTAGAGTGTTGTTTTCATTGTATACCGTTATATCACAATGGAAAGGATGCAGAAAAAGGAAAATATTTTTCTTTACACGTTGCTCGAGAATCTCGCGTTTACCACGAAATCTAAGAAAAAAGAGAAAAAGTAATATTTCAATGGTAAAAAAAAAGAAAAAAGGAAAAATATTGCCCTAAGCCAATTTTTCTTCTCTTTCACACACACAGTATTTACCGTGACTTAGAAAATACAAAAGAAAACTTTCATTTTTTAATATTTTCCAATGATAAATAGAAAATAATAATTCTATTACGTGTGCGTATGATATAAAAATTTGTTAAACAAAATCTCTTTATAAAATATAATATTTTAATATATTTTTTTTTTGTAGTCTTCATCTTCGTCTGATCGGATAATAATTAAAACTTTACGCACAATTCACAATCGTATATTCTTAATAAAATATTATTTTATTTAGAAAAATAGAAAAATAATAAAAAAGGGGATCGTTCGTTTATTTCGATTCGAATGTTAAAGAAAATCATTTATCGATGTCTCTAATATAAAAGTAGGTCGAGACGTTTTGTAGAAGCAATTTTTTTTGTTCCTTTTTTTTTTTTCTTGTCCACCACCCCATTCTTAGTTCCAGTTTCTAACGTGAGACGAGAAGTTTCGTCATTCCGTGTCAGGCATCGTAACAAGTTCCATACGATTTACCTTTACTTTCCTACCACCACTACCACTACCACCAACACCACCCCTATTTCATCCTACACCCCTCTTTTCTGTCCTTTCTTTCTATCATCAATTCAAAGCAATTTATGGCACCCGTTTCTTTCAGGATTACCATTCGTTTTTCCTTCATTCGTTAGCTCCTATTATTTCAATGTTATGAAATTTCTTTTTCACATGTTTTATTTATACAAACGAATGAAATAATAATTCATTCGTTAAAGGTTCCTTTCATTTTATTTATTATTCTTTATGATAATATTACTTTTTTCTTTTTTTTTTATATAACAAAATGTTTTAGGAATACTTAATTAAATGAACAAGATTTTTCCATTCTTTTTCTTTTTTGGGGAAATATTTCTCTTTAGAAATACATTTTGTTATTTTGTTTATTAAAATACGATACTCTAGGTTTTTTTCATTTAAATGTTACAGAAAAATATTTAGACACACGGTATAGATTTGATATATATATATTTTGAAAATTTGTCTTCGTAGAAATTTACTCTATCATAGCATAATATATTTTCTTTTATATATAATTATTTATATATTTATATTATATAATACAGTAATGTATAAATATCAAATTAATTCATCAATCGTGTTACCATCTTAAATAATAAATCAGTTTTTTCGTAAGAAGTGTGTTAGAAATGAAATAACCAAAGAGTTCAATGAAATAAATTGATTGATTAAATAATGAGAATGAAATTCAATTCAATAAATATTTAATCAATATTGAAAAACAATTGATTTAATTTAACTCCTTGTTATTTTATTTCCAACTTGTTACGAACAAAAAAATTGATAAATATCAAATCTATATATAAGCGTTATAGAATATTTTTCTATAGGATTTAAATATATGAATATATTTTTATTTTGCAAATCAATACTTAAAGTATAACAAGTCGTTTATAAATTTGTTCGAATAAATTGAAACGCGTTGAAAATTTTATTATATATTTTGCCAAAAAGGTGGGACATATTTTATCTTTTTTTTCTTTTTTATGTAAAATACAAATTTTTCCATACGTATTTTTTAAAACAGTTTCATAATTTCATTTCTTTTCATTTCATTACGTTTCGTACAATGACTGGTGAGAATCTTTTCGCATTGGAAATCGTTTAAATTCATTTAACGACAATTACCACGAGGAAAAAAAAGAAAAAAAAGAAAGGATAATATGATGGACAAAGGAAAAGCATCCAAGGGAAAAATTCCTATGTCTTCGAACATTAACGAGACGATTGAGAATGAAGTTTTTAACGAAAGAATGGCGCGAAGTAAGTTATTCATAATAAAAATTATATTATTAATATATGGACCGTTTATTTTGAAAGTAGTATAAGTCCATTTTTGAAAAAAATAAGATATCACGTAATTCGTGTTTAATTTAATGTAAATTTTTTACGTATAATTAGTCCGTGTTTAATTTCTTAAAAAATGTCCATGTTTTGTACAATTTAAAATTGATCGGTAAATGAAATTGCATAATCATTGATTATGAAAGTAGTGTAAGTCCAATTTCCATACAAAAAAAGAAAAAAATAAT